AGATAACGTTTCGTAAAGTTAAGTCTTAGCAGTTGGCCACACGCCAACGCTAACACGAGGTACTCGGCCTACAATACACCGTGTTTATGCTCTCGATAACACACTGAGGAAATAGGGGGAACAATTAGGGGAGGTCCAGAATGGGCGGTCCACTTATTTTCCCTGTTCCCTTACTACAGACCCCATTCTGGCCAATCACTCGAGAATAATTTCAACTCCACAGTAAGTACTCATGTCCGTGCATTGGCTCGTGTCCAAAAAGCACGCCTCGGCTTGTTGACTTACATAATTTTCAAGTGGAAGAATTTTGTGACTTTTTGAAACTCAACTCGGTATTCGAGCTGTGTCAGTGCGTAGTTCCAGTCTAAAAATAGCATATGGCGGCGGGCATGCCACACTGTAGTCTATTTATTCAGTGCTGTGCCACGAATCGTGAAGTTACCGCAGCGTGCCTCAACATCCTTGCGGTCAGTGCATGTACAAATTGATGGAATTGATGTTGCATCTTTCGTAAGGCTGAACTTTATGAATATGCTTTAATTTCCGCCTGCAACTTTCCCACTACCAGTATGATCTGCATGACTTTTCTGGAAGAGTCCGCATGTCACCTGAAAATACCTTAGTATAAGGTTATTTGAGGATTTAAGGTAGGCAAAGATACAGTCAAGACTCCGGTCAAGTCGCCACATCCGGACCGGAACTTTAGGTGCCTAAGACCTTACTCAAATCCTAGCTATTATGGGTTAATCTATTGCGCGCCTCGTAGTTACCTTTCTGCCTTGCCCTTTAAGTAGATATCATTTCGAAAACTCCACGAGTAAGAGCGAATAGCTTGGAAGTGATACTCAGGAAAACATAATATTCTGTCATACCTGCGGTATATCAACGGCACTTCAGAGACCCCAAACAGAGGTTTCCGACTCCCACTGTCGGCATGCATATGATTCTCGAACTCTAGAAAACGATCAAGACACATGATATCTTCTGCTTTCGTAAGGATAGAAATTTTCCAATCCGGGGTTGTAGTTGTATAATCGCTAGTCCAGACGGATTGAGCGATGGTTACGACACGCCCAACTGTCTCAATTGAAGTGTGTACTGGCATTCCATCAAAGCACCTCAACTCAATAACGCTGAATAATTAAAGGGGGCAAAGGTAGAGCATTGAGTTCATTTGTTCTTCATCATCGAGTTATGACATCTGCCGGCGAGAGCTGCGTTTCATAGTACCTAAGCCCTTCTCGCCTAATTAGAATCAATCTAGCGGCCTCCGTCCGTGTCTAACGACGACGATCCATCACGCCTCATTCCTCCAATAAGACGACCGTTATCCAATCTCGACGTAGAGAGCCAAGGTGAAATGGTGGTGCCGCTATGCTTCTTCGGATTATCATAACGTCCTGTTTCATGAATATATAGACTGACCCTGATGTATGAGGTTCTATTCTGTTGTCTTGTCGTTATACTTAAACTAAAGCCAAGAACCTCTTTCGAGTCTGCCTCCGTCATGAGCTTGGCCAAGTGTAGATAAACACCCAGTTGTAGCACTCAATATGAGGGATACTAGCAGAGTGAGGTGTAGTATATATTGGGCTACTCCCTCCTAGTCTGCCGCCCGTTGCCATGTGACTGAAGAGGTTTGCGTATTCTTCTGCTCTATTCTTACATATCGCAAGAGGCTATAGTATTAATTACCTCAATAGTTAAAGGATTGTCAGAATGCATTGGCTCCTGTCAACAATCGTAGGGGCTGCCCTTACCCGTACTGGTATGCAGTCAGCTTTGCTGCCTCGTCACAGATAATAGTTACTAATATCGGTCTATAGCTCTGGCACAGACCACCACTCCCTTCCCAACCTCATGCCCTGGCGTGGCTGCGGCCAGGTACCCTTACACTGTCGACTCAGCATGGCAGATCACGAAGATTGCCACTGGCCTGCGTCAGCCACGGACCATCATCTTCGATCCGCTAGGAAATATGTTAGTGCTACAGGCCACAACGGGTGTGTCGGTTCACATGTTTGGTTCAGACGGTTGCATCAGCAATGCGACGACCATCATCCGGAACACCGGGCTCAACCATGGCTTGAGTCTCAGCCCAGATGGTAAGACCTTATACGCCAGCTCGACGACCACGGTCTGGTCGTGGATCTACGATGCGGCCACTCGGGCAGTATCTAATCAGAAGACGATCGTTATTGGCATGAGCCCAGGGGGGCACTCCACGCGTACTGTCGTGGTGTCCCCAAAGAACCCGAACATTATACTCGTCTCCGTGGGCTCTAACTCCAACTGGGATTATGCCTCCGGTAACCCTTCGACGGGTCGTGCATGTGTCAAAGCCTTTGATGTCAGCAAAACTCCTGCGACTGGATACAACTATAACACGCAAGGGACAAGTATGCATTCCAGCACCTTCGATTATCTGCTTGCAGACGCTTCTGCGTGTCCACGAAGCCCTCAGAAACGAATTCGGTCTTCACTGCCAGCGACGAATGCTAACACGTGACTGTTGATAGTGGTTGCCTATGGCACACGCAACGAGGTAGCCATCGCTTTTGATCCAAATGGCCATGCGTGGGGCGCCGAGAACAGCGGTGATGACTTCAGGAGGACGGTCAACGGGCAGTCGATCGATGTACACATCGACAACCCAGCTGAGGAGCTAAACTACTGTGAGTTTTCATTATTTTTTTTTTGTTCCCTCTTTATTCTTTACCGGCTCAACTCGACAATTGCCGAAACTCACATTGGCATGTCTTAGTCGGCGATCCAGAAAGCCCGCGTACACCAAACTGGTACGGCTATCCGACGTGCTTCACAGTATGGGAGCCGTCTCTCTTCAAGGACACGACAGCGCTCAAGACGGGATCACAATTCGTCGTGGCGCCCAACACAACCTTCAACGACGCATCGTGCACCGGCGTCGCGAACCCACCGCGGCTCAGCTTCCCCGCGCACACGGCGCCCATCAGCACCGCCTTCGACAAGAACGCGACGAACCTGTACATCACGTTCCACGGATCGTGGGACCGGCAGCCGGCAGCGGGATACTTTGTGGCCGAGGTGCCGTTTACCAGGACGGCCGACAACCTATACGACGTCGTCGCTGCGGCCGATTCTAAGACGGGGTATAAGACGATCTTGTCAGCCCAGACCCAGGGATCGTGCAACTCGGCGTCGTGCTGGAGACCGGCTGGGATAGGCTGGGATAACGCGGGTGAGAAGCTCTTCCTCAGTAGTGATAATCAAGCCGATGGCGAGATCTTTGTCCTGAAGAAGAAATAGATGGTTCCAGGTGATTTGTTCCAGAGAACCTCGTTGATGGATGTAGGAAGTCGTCTATTTTCTTACTGGAGAGAGTAAGGTCTATGTGTATACTTCTTAATCGAATTTAGTTGAATTTACAGATAGGTCTTGTATGCCGTGGACAAGAGCTGAGTAAGGAGTTTCATGTTAGTTGACAAGTACCTAAGCGCCCTAGTGGACCGAGAAGCTATACAGAGCGCGCCCATGCCCCACATGTGCCTGTACCTACCTACATTTAATGCAAGGCTAGACAACGTCAAGAAGCTCCGAGCTCGCAAAACCAATCGGTATCAAACTACCGTATCTCTTCTAGCCATTCCCTTGTTCTTGGAATAAGGACAATTGGCTAGCCTCTCACCACCTCATTCCCATGCGATTACACCCCTCAACTCAACAGCCAAAGACCGGGAAAAGCACCAATTAACCCACAATGTCGCAAAAGATAACATCCAAAAACCTAACCTACGACACCTCGCTCCCACCCTTCCTCGCGCGCCTCCGCGGCCAACAGACAGCGCGCAGCGGGCCTGATCCAATCCTCGCAGCGCACCGTCGACCAGGCCAGAAGCGGTCGGCATCAGAGGAGGCGGAAGACGCGCCGGTCGTGGTGGACGAGGACGGGAACGTGGTAACGGGGCTCGTCGTGGGGTCCGAAGAAGACAAGGCAGAAGCCACAGGGCAAGAAACCGGGCAGCAACAAAACCAAGATCAAGAAAATAGCAGGGAAGGAGATCCCGCGCAGAAGGAGAAAGTGGCGGGCATAGGGGCTTCGCGCAAGCGCAAAGTCGGGCGCGTGATCGGCGAAGGACAATCTTCAGACGACGAAGGGGGAAGAAACAGGGAGAACAGGGCGAAAGCGGACAGAAAAAGCAAGGACGATGATGCGCGGATCGCCAAAGCCAGCGCGGACGTGCGACGGCTCGTGGGTTGCGGCGAGGATACCTCCATTCGAGCAAGCGACGCACTAATAAAGAGATCAGATGAGAAGACGACCAAGAGCGCGACGAAAAAGAAGAAGCCCGCTAAGAAGATCAAGCTTAGTTTCGGGGATGACGACGGCGAATGAAGCAAGCCTCTTCCCATAACTTGATCACTTCCGCAAACAATGCCTTCCAGTCCCTGACGGCTACCGTTTCTGCTAGGCTCCTTTGCACCCGAAGGAAGGGAGGGCTATAAAACTCCAGCCTCTGCATCCCACGCATTGGGGACTCACGGACAATGCAACCTAGCCGCACTAACGTATTCAATTCGTGGCAGTCACGCTGCTCAGCCGCTGAGTTAACAATCTACCGGTCAATCAAACTCTGTGAAGCTTCACGCGTGACCACATCTCGTGGCGGTAAGGATGAAAGAGCACGAGATTGTCCGAGCTTATTAGACATGAGTCTATGAAGCCACGTCCCGTGGTATCTCTCCAGTCTAGATACCCAAGTAAGGAGAACTATACCTCGACACGAGCACCTTTTAAGAAGCGGGACTGGCTGATCGGTTGGCTTCTTAGCTTTTTTGAAGGCTTGTCTCGCGACATAAAATAAAGCGATATCGCTATGGGTCGACCGTTGGAAACAGAAACCGTCCAACAAACCAAGATCAACTGATGCCAACAGTGAAAGTCAGCATCACCCATCACTAGCTTCTCGCCATACTACATAGCTCAGTGAAGTGTTGTTTCTCGTTACTTGAAAGTAATACATGTAATAGTGTAGTTGGTTATCACGTCAGTCCGACACACTGAAGGTCTCCGGTTCATGTCCGTTGGAGGGGGCGTCAGGGATCACAGACGTGACTATGACACTGTCGTAGAATGTGTATTCCCAAAAGAGAAAGACAATGGTAGTAAGATTTGACCACAATAAAGGCTGGTGATGTACCAAAAGTGATCACGACTATTGATCCCGGTCTGACCAGTACCGTCACGGGTGGAACGAGGTCAACGAACTTCTCAGAGCACCTGCGGGTCACTCACTGGCGAGTACCTTCAAGTATGCCGACCTGGATTGCTAATTGTCTCTTTTCGTCTTCGCCAGGCCATCTCCCGTGTACATCCCAAAATGCCAAATCGTCCACAATTCGGGGTTAGTTCCGAGGAAGACGTGCTAGTTCATTTAGAATTGGTCGTCCATATAGGTCGACCGGCAGATCCTGTCGGGGTAGGTTTTTAATAATGTCAATTGCGAATACCATTGGCCGTACGATCGTGATCATTCAAGTCCAGCCTTTTTCAGCCAGGAGCCGTCGGATTAGAGGCTCAAACTTCCCGAACTGTGTGAGATACAACGCCAGGACGTCGTAAAAGAAGGGAATTTGTCTCCCATAGACTCGACGATGAGGTTTACTCTTGCTGATTTGCTTCCGAGGTTCGTACCATAAGATTTCGTGTCGTGCAGAGTCTGCAATCTCGGGGGGTAGCGTCAGGTATCTGACCATAATCTCGAGAAGGTTCCCCATTGTGTTTCATGACAATTCAAGCATATATAATCTATGATCCAATTCTGTTTATGGAGTTCAGTAGCGTGTTAAGCTATGTACATCGTTACATTGTTATTAATACGTTAACCATGCCTCAGGTAAACCGCTAGTAAAGACTAATCCTATCATGCTCCGCCAAGAATATAAACTGGACAAACTGCTCAACACAGCACCTGCAGCTAAGACAGGACACCGAAATATGAATATTAAGTAAACCGTTGTCTCTCCAGAAATGAGTCTTCTCTCGACCAGCCTATTCCAATAACGCCTTACCGATGCATTTCACATATTTCGTTTCACCCTTATGTTCTATTAGACGAGGCTCGCCTCTAGTGTCGTTGTTGAGCGCCGGGACCGTGTATTCTAGTAACGGGACGCCCGGTTTGGGGAGTATGAGTGGTCGTAAGAACTGGAGTGTCCGTATGGGTCATCAGCGTATACAGTAGCACGTCGGTCCTCTTCCGGTAGCAGTTCCTTGACTTCCCAGTTGTTCATCCGGGTCCCAACGGAGAATTCAAGATCCTCTTTTGTGATGGAATCCCAGTACTAAACATTAAAGTTAGCCCGGAATATCAGTATATTTGGTTCAAAGATACGTACCTTATATATCATCATAACTGCAAGGAGATTTCCTATAGTAGCGAAGAGGAGGCCATCGATGTAATGGCTCGTATTGTTGCATATGGTTGTGCTGACAGCATAGAGCAGGACTTGCCCAGCGATGAAAAAGAAGACACCAAACGCAATGTGCCCAAGAGGCCACTGATCTTCCAAAGTCCTGACTACTAGAAGAACCTGCAGAGCAACGTATATAACGAGCTGGACGCCGTTCAAGAGGTAGAGAACGGCAAACAGGCCCACAGTATTGGTAGGCCCGAGCCCAGCCCAGGATTTGAAAGTAGCCAGTGAGACGAAGAACGAGATGAGCCAGGCAACGAAGGAACAGAGCCGGAGCATCCAAAGCGACAAGGGAGTGCCGTCTTCGTACAGCTGAAAGCCCACGAAACCATTGATCAAGAGGCAGGTAATGAGAGCAGATGAAAATCCTGCTTGGATGGCCACGAAGTATGGATACGGAGCGGAGCCCACAGGCACGACACCGGCATCAATGATGAGAGAGAGGACAGTCAGAGTTAGAAACAGGTAGAAGAAGGTGAGGATCTCCTTGCGACCTACGCAAACGACCTGGTTAGCTATCGACGTTCCACTGTCTCACTATACAGATGAATATCAGATCCATGTAGACTTACCGACAGCTGTGAACTTGCCCCGGATGTGCAAGATCATGATGACGGTCAAGCCCAGTGCGATGATGTGGAGGAAGCTGGACGCGCCCTGAAATATGATGGTGTTGGCGAGTTCGATATTACGCGCGAAGCAGTTCGTCTCAACCCCAACACCGCTCGAGAGGGAGCTCATGGGGCCGACGGAAGCACATAGCGGCAGAGGTGCCGTATGGCAGATGTCGGTGAAATCACCGAAGCCTCCCATCTTGCGCCCCCTTGGGATCGCGGAAACGAACGCGGTGTGGATGGGATAGCAAGGTTTCGAGGACTCAAAGACCTAGGGCACTACGCGACTCGAGGTACGGCGGTCCGAGCGATGGTTGGCCGGCACGTTTCCTTGTGCAAAGTGGAGCGCAGCGGTATAGGTAATGGACGTATGTATGAGTCGTGTATTGATCGATGATAGTATTCGATGGGTGTCGATGGCAAGTCGACGATAAAACTGGGGAAAAAAGCGAACGGCGGACAACTGTCAGTGGCTATCGGAGGCGGTGGAAACGGCCACGATGTGTGTGGTATTATTATTGGCTATTATGGCTGTCTTGGAACGAATGACTATGAAACCTATGTGACGGTATATTATGCCATGGACGGAGGAGTGGTGGGCTGAGGCTGGGAGCAAGCAGCGAGGGGGTGGGTTGTCTCGTTGCTCGGCCAGAAACAGGCTGGCTGGATGAGTTGGGCTGAAGCGAGAGAAGCTGGCGATATGCTGGGTGTGTCCGGTGCCACTCGCTGCACTCGCTGCACTCGCTGCACTCGCTGCACTCGCTGCACTCGCTGCACTCGCTGCACTACAAAGCTGCTTTGGTTGCCGTGGAAAAGGGTCAAAAAGAGTGGATACCATTCCCTCACAGGGCTATCAACTACCAGAGACGGCAGGAGGCCAGTGGCTTCTTACAGTGGGAAAAAATCATCAAATGGGGCTCTCTCGTGTTCACAGAACTGCGCCATCCCTCTTTCGGATCGCATGAGTTTCGTTTTTGATTTAGCCTAAAGCAGAAGACTACCCAGATAGTCTAACCTAGCTAGGAATAACAGCAACGTATTTATATTCTAAGAATGGCTGCTTCAGTCGGAAAGTCTAGACCGCAAGTCTACCGCAAAGAAGTAGAAATCATAGTCTAAGCAGGACGATGACTATTCCTATGTTCTATATCTAATGCATCGAAAGACCACTTGCTTATATAAATATCCTGCTAGTACAGAGACAGGTCAATCAATTGGTCCCAGGCGAGCCAATCGGGCGACTTTCTGAGAGACGAGGGGTGGCAGATGTGTCTAGAGCAGCCATCATATTGGTCTCCAATGTGGCAGATGTTTATAAAGCTATCAACTCAAACGTATCTGAACCTAGGTATATGTATTTACTGATATTCGGGCCTTTGGGAAGCTAACAAGATTTCATAGTGGCAGCAAAGTCTTATTGAGCTTTAAGTTGTAGAAATAACGAATATCCTATGGCTTTCAATGTTCATACACCGAAATCTAGACTTGATCCTTGCGTCTACACTTGGTGCTGTCTGGCGACTGTCAGCCCCCGCGAACAGTCCGTATCACCCCAAGATTCTCACTGCCGCATATAGTCATATTTGGGGTAAATTCGCCCTGGGCGTCGATCCTCTTGATGAAGGTTTGGCTCTGATATCATAACGATGAGGGGTTCGGTGACAGGGCCGGATTTCTGACTAATGAGGATATCCGGTCCAGATATATGAAGTCCAAACCCCTCTTGATGAACCTGGTAGCACTTGATCTTTCTATCTAATTCTAGGAACAAGCTTGATATCAGCGCCTGTACCTAACGACTAAAAGATCTGGGAATAAGCCATACTTATTGAAGAACGCCATTCAGGAGAAGATGTCTGAGCCTTTGGAGAGAAAAATGTCGAAAACATACCTAGCAGCTAAGGAGAAGTATCAAGCTGTTATCGACGACGCCGGTCGCGGTGACTACTACTGTAAGTATGCGACTGGATCTACCGCCCGCCTCCCGTCTGCTTTCTTCCTTATGCGGTACCATCGCGTCCCATCACCGGATGGACACAGATACCGTTACATGATGTCACAAACATGCTCACTTGTGACAACAGGCCGAACAAACCGCTTCGGTGCTGGTCGTCACCCGTCAGCGGGTGAATGCAACATGTCCAACAAAGTTGACCACCCGGAGCGGCGTCGCAGCAGCGCTAGCTCTGGCCCCATCGCGAGTCCTACAATGAGACAGAAAATTAGAGAATGGATGAATCGACCTGCATACTAGGCTTGATTGGAAAGTCGAGCATGAGTATGAGGTTATGTAAGAGCGACGTCGATAAGAAACGGTAAATCGATCAGATTGCTTTCTTGGGTCTTGGGATAAGTTTGGATGATCAGCGTAATGCTTACGGTGTGTTAAAGTGGCAGATTGTGACACAAGCCATATCCAGGTTCATGTACAGAGCAAACAAATTATGATTACTATGATGAAGTCAAACACACTACTATCTACATTCAACTCTCTTAGAATAGGGAGGGTCGATGTTGATTGTGATTATGTTTCCACTGTGCTTCCTTGTTCAGGACTTACTCATCGTATTAGCTCGCCATTTCCCTGCGCCGGACGGTCGGTACCGACCCCTCCACTTCATGATATCCAGCATGTGACGGCCTCGCCGCTCGTCGTTCATCCACTGGTGAACTGTCGAGTTCCATCACGGGGCTGAGGAATCCCTGCCCCGCAAGCTGGTTGTCGTGTGCGACCTGCAACCAGTCTGCATCGATGGTGTCGCGGCCAGCAGAACTACGAGAACTCCACCTTTTCCTTCCACCTGAACGTTTAAGCCCAATGATAGACCCGAAAGATGCAGAAAGGCTCCTGGGCGTGGAGACAGTGGATGGTGGGCTCACAGGAGCGGGTGTCACTGCGGAACTGCTGTGGAACGAATCTAGAAAAGCATTAACATCGGGAAAGCAGAAAGCCAAGGAGGGGGGAAGAGAAAGAAGCAGTCTCACCTTGGAATGGACTCCAA